TCCTCCCTCATCTCAGTCTGTTCTGATTTTGCTTACTCACGCCTAAACCCTTTTTTTTCTCTCTTGCCCTCGCTGTGGCCCATTTTTCTGTCTCTGTCTTTTTCTCTTGGCTACAGTCGACACCAGCTCTCATTATCACTGATGGCTGATTGTGTTTGGCTGCTCTCTCGGGCACGGCAGATTCACATTTAGAGGAGCAGTGATGAAGTGATGTTCATGCACGTACTTGCGCTAACAGCCCCACAGAGTCCCTTGTTTCTCACCGCATGACGAAGTCGGCCTGGTCAATGTTCCGTCCACACTTGCTGTTTCGGAGAATGCCACCGTTGCCCACCACCGCACACTTCTTTAGGGGCAGCTGCAGAGGGTTGTCCTGGGCAGAAGGAAACATGCAGCTCTGTTAGTTACACACAGACACTAGCACCTGGACATAAACACACAAAGCCACTTGCACACATGCACAAAAACAAATATTAATTTTCTCTCAACCCAGATCCCAAAATTGAGGCAGGTGCATAATTCACTGTGTGTTCAGCAAAGCGCAGGACCTCAGGCCTACCGCTAATTTCCCCGTCACAGCCTCATGTGCTGACGGATGAACGAGCGTGGATATATGAACCGAGGAGGGGGACAAAAGCAAGTCGAGGTCATACAGCTAATGAATCAGATTACATTTCCAGCATATGCTCCAAGAACAATGTCTATATTGTACATGGTGAAATTATTTAATGAAAAATAGTAGACGTAGATAAATCAGAAAAGAAAAGGGAACTTCGAGCTGTAACCACATTATTTGTCATTGAAAACAAAATGCTCAAGGATGGAAACAAACTTACTTTATAAAAAATGTTTACCAGGGGTTATGTGCCCTGGTAAATGCCTTTCGCACAGTGTTTGGGTCTGGTCCCTGCAGAGGCTTTTTAACTAACTACATCACCCATTCATCCATTAATTGTAATGGACATTTGTCCATGTCAAATGTGGTGTTAGAGCTGAGTCAGTATGTGAATATCTTTTTTTTATCAATTCATATTTTCTCAAATTAGTTTAGCTACAGCACAATCTTTCCCCAGGCACCCTGGCAACTGCAAGTGCCCCCTGGGGCACAAGTAGGCTGGCTGGGAATCACTGCCCTATCATCATCTAAATTAAAGCCTGGTATAGGACAGTATCAAAGCTGTTACTGAGAACACTGAAATACCACAGTCCATGAGGCAAGAGCCAAAATTGTCCTCTTTGCCTTGGTTGCATTTAAGTCAGAGGCATGGATTAGATGAGATGGCGGAAACAATTGTGCTCATTATTCCCCCTATTCACTCCCACACACTTGAGAATACACACACACACACACACACACACACACACAAAAATGCACATGCACATCTTCTTACCTCAGGGTCTCTTTTAGACCATGACAGGGAGTTGAGTCAGAGGACAATTCCCTGCTAACAGCACATCGAGCAGGGGAGGGGAACCAGCAAGCTGGGCTAAACCTTGCGAGGGGGGGCACTTATTACAATATTAATGGTCCAGCTACTTCTGGAGAGTTATTTATCAAACGTTTACCAATATCTTGACAGATTTTGGTTGTTCATTATAATATAGCATGTTGCATGGGACAAAAAAAAGAAAACGACATGCTGTGAGCTCATCTACTGTACAGTCCAGTAAACTGTGTGTATGGATGCTCTGTTTGAGCCATTGAACTAACCAACAATTAACTGTCAAAGCCCTAATTGGCACATTCCCTGGCAGATACTCAGATACTGTAGCTGTTGCCAGCTTGGTGTAGTGAGGCTGGTTGTCTGTGTTCAGACCTACAATCATAGCACTAGTTGAGGAGGCAGAGAATAAGCATGAGTGTGTGGTGTGTGTGCGTCTGAAAGAGCTTGTGCTTCATCCATCCCACCTAACTACTAGTTACCTTTCTACAGAGAAACACATAACAGGCCTCAGTATCGCAGAGGAAGTGCAACCACACTACTAGAATAGGCTATGCACACGTCAGATGGAGACAAAGTTGTACAATGCAGCAGGCTGTCACCACAACCTTGGGCAGGGCGATGTACTGGAGTCTGACACAGAGAAAAATAACCACCAGCTACATCCCAGTGACATAGAGTACTGACTGGAGTGACATTAAAAGACCTAGCACAGTGTAATGATTAGCTATAACATCATTTAATCAGTCACTGGGTAGAGGAAATGTTCCATAAAATAGATGTATGTGGGCGCCCAGATAGCTCAGTGGGCAGAGCTGGCGACCCATGTACTGAGTCCTCACCGCAGCGGGCAAGGGTTCGGATCCGACCTGCGGCCCTTTGCTGCGTGTCATCCCCTCTCTCTGCCCCCCTTTCCTGTCTTTCTTCAGCGTCATATAATCCTAAACAGGATAAAACCCAAACAAATATAACTTAAAAATCAACAGAAAAATACCACACCGTCACGAGTATGGCCATGTACTACCCGACACACCACCTTAATCAATGCCGAGGCAAAGACAACCAGCGGCCTCCACTTGCTTCTGGAGAACACATCTGCTGTTTATTTACCTATCCCCTGCTTTGTTAACGCTAAATCCCACACTCCGCCACATCGCGCTGCGCCAGATCTATCCTCCGGCGCTGCTGCTCTACACTGCGCATTCACGGCGCCGTCACACCCTCTCACCCGACTGACTCTCTCAGTTTGCTGCAATTAACTCGTCCCCACATCCAGACGCAATTTCCAACCACCGTAAACAACCCACAAACACACCCAGGGTCCTCCTCTCTCTCCGACTGCTTGTCTCTTCCCTTGGACAAACAGCAAAATATAAATCTAGCAATCAATACTAACAACAAAGAAAGCAGCAAATCCTTTCACATTTGGAGAATGGGAATTAGCAAATAATTGGCTCGCACAAATAGTCGTAATATTGAACTAATCAACAAATCAAATAATTTACGAGCTCTTAATCTTCGAAAATGGGACGAAGCATGTTGAAATTTAGATTAATAAACACTTGTAATAAAATAAAGCAGTGCTGTCAAATTCTTGTTCACACACAAACACTAGGTGGTCCTCCGCCTTGCTCCCTCTCGTGGCTCCATATCTTTCATTT